AGGAGAGCCAGCCCTGGGGGCACCTCCTGACCCACCGCACGTATTGCACGGGCAACCATCGTGCTCGCAGTGGGGCAGGGCAGCGGGGTATAAGATCTGAGCAGGGAAGTCTCCAAAATCCCAGTCCCTGACCACCGCCATCCTCCACACTGCCCAGCCAGGGGGGGATTGTTTGGGTGTAGCTTGGCCGTAAGGCTTTTGGGGGATGTGGAAGCAAAGCAGGCGCCCTCCTTCTCCCCATGGCACAGCTGTGGGCTGGGGCTGGCTACTGCCGATTAACAGGCATCTGCTGGGTCAGAAACCCCTGTGGGAGGTGAGCCTGGGGACAGAAGGGGTCTGGGATGGGGCTAGGCCAGGAAGGGGTGGAAATGCAGTGGGTTCCCAGGGAGCAAGCGGGGCCCCTGCTTTGCAGACAGGCTGCTGAGAGCTTCCTATTGGGGCATGCACGTGTGCTACAGCCTCCCCGCAGGGTCTGCCCAAGTGCAGATGTCTGGCTCTGTCCTCTGGCACTCACAGGGTGGAGGCTGTGTGTCCCCCATCACCTGCTCACCCCTTATCATCCTTCCCCCTTTGCACCCCCGGGACTACCGGAGCCCTCTGCACCCTGTGCCGTGCGGGGAGAAACTTGAGCTGCGTGGTCCCTGCAGCATGGGGCTGGGAGGACGGCGGTGCTGTGGATGGGCCGGCTGCTTGGGCATCCCCCGGACTCAATAACCAAGAACTCTTAAACTTGGAGCTGTAGGAAAATATCTGGAAGTGAAACCAGAAAAGGCAGAAAGGGAGGCTGTGACAGCGGGCGGGGGCTGTCTTTCCCCCGCTCACCGCGCCCACCAGCCGGCCAGACCCCAGTGGGGCTGGCAGCGCTCGCGGTCACTGCTGGCACTCTGCACGTGATGGCAGCAACACGCTTGTATTTGGCGGGGTGTGAGGTGGCACCAGCGCAGCCGCTGAGGGTGCTGCAAGCCGTGCGGCGGAGCGAGGAGAAGCCGTGCCATCTGCTGTTTCTTCAGTGCTAAAGTGTAAAGCAAACATAGCTGGGAGCTATGAAACACCAGGAGGGAAGGGGCCGTGCCTTGTTCCAACGCCGGGGCCCGAGGATCCCACAGGCAAAGCATGTGTTTGTCCTGGTGTCATCAGCTGTGTAACCATGCCGGCAATGTAAGCCCGGTGCCGGGGCCCTGCTGAAACCCTCTCATCCAGCGTCTGTCCCTCTTGGCTTCGGTACCCCCAATGGCAGCACTTCATTGGTGACTGTCACAAAAAGCTGTGAAGGGGAGAAGCCTCACAAAGTCAGTTGCAACCTTCTAGCAGCGTTTCCCTCGCGAGCTGTAAGTGAGCAGCTTGCAGACAGACGCTTGGGTTTACTCCCAGGGTGCGCTGGGACTCCCATGTGCTGTGAGCGGGGAGACAGGAGCAAGGTTTCCATGGGTGAACCAAACAAGCTGCGGGCAGGGGCTGCCCGGGCAGGCAGCGCCGGAGCTGGGAGAGGGGTGCAGAGCACCAAAGCGTGATGGGTGCTCCCACGCTTGGTCCTGCTGCAACTGGTTTAATGTTGGAGGACAGGCAGCTGCTAAGAGGGAGCACGATGCATTGAATGCATTGCTAGGGAGAGCGGTGAACTTTGGGTGTTTCCAGAGGGTTTTCTAGGGGATTCCTTCCTTCTAGGAGCCAAAGGGGAAAAGAGGATTTGGGGCGATGCTGCGTTTTTCTGAAAGGTCACTGCAATGCCTGGGGGTCCCTGGGCTCACCGCGTCCCCAGCAGAGGATGGGGAGAAGGCGTTTGAATCAGGAGGTGTGCTGGGGTGTCGGGGATTGCTGCAGGTGTCGGGTCCTTCCCCTTTGGCGAGTGCGGGGCGACCCCGATCCCTTCGGGGAGGCTCGGCCCAGAGCCCTGGGAAGGGCTGGAGCAGCCTGGGCGGGGCGAGGCAGCGCAGGCAGCGCAGGCAGCCCGGGCAGCGCAGGCAGC